AGCTCTTGAATAGTCGGGACCTGCCGAACTTGACTATCTGCGGGAACCGCCGGCAGAGGTCTTGTGCGATCAACGAACACGTTGGGGCCGTCGAGCCCAGCGCCTGCGGCGTGCTGCCGCGCGGCAGCGCTCGTCCACGCCATATCGCCCGATGAAAATGAGTGTGGTGGAACATCTTTGGAACCAGGCATGCAGTTGTAGAGGTCGAGAGTGGAAGAGCCTCTCGCTTCGCCCCATGGCGCTGGAGAGGTAGTTGGCGACGGGGTACGGCACCCAAAAGTCTCGCGGCGCTGCCGCTCGCACCCTGACGGTCGGCACCCTCTGCCCCAAGGCCCAAGAGGCCCCCAACGGGCGCGAAGGCAGGATTGCTCCCAAATGCTCTCGGAGGGGCAGAGGAGGTGAGCAGTGCGCGCCGACGGGGCCTGCGCAAATTCGAAGCTAAGCATGCCTGGTTGTCTAGAGCGGTCAACACTCACACACGCACGCCCGCTGCTTCATGAGAGTGCGAGATGCTTGAATTATCAGCGACGGAGTCCCTAATCTCGTCGAAGCACGCGTGCAGCGCGAGCGCTGGGGCAAAATGCGCGGCGCGCTGCATCTGCGCATCGTCTGGGTCGGTAGTCGCTAAGCCGCCCCCCCCCCACCCCCCAACTGGGCCGCACCTGGCATGTGAGACCCCGCTTCCATGCGGACCTCCTCAGAGTTGCCTCGGGCGGATGGCTTGCCGCGACGAATGCGATCAGTACGGCCTTCATCCGACCTGCTGCGAGCAGACGAGCCATTCTTTTCCTCCGTCTTGGCATCGTTGGCGGTCATGTCGAAACGCACTGGTCCAGCTGGTGGCCCGCACGGCTGCGACGTGCCAGGAATGCCGCACGATGATGAGGACCACCAGTGCGACGGAGATGCCGCTGCCCCTTGTGGCGGGGGCCGTGCAGGTGGGGGTGGACCGCCTGCCATCGTAGCAGCCGCCTCCTCATTGATCAGCTGCTGCTCCTCGTCGAACTGAGCCTATGAATGTTTCTGCTGTTCCAACTTGACTTGGCGGTCATGCGCAGCCTCCTGTTCAATATCAAAGATCAAAGTGGTACCCACCTGCCAAAAGAACCCAGGCTTCCTCATGAAAGCGTCGCTGGTCTTTTGATTGTGCTTCACTTCGGCATCCTCTTGCTGATCGTGGCGACGCTGGTATTCCTGCATCTTTGCATAGTAATCTGCCGCGTCGAAATGCTCCGCCGGGTCGATCGCCGATGCTGCTGAAACACGTTTGTCCGTAGCTGCTGCTGCCTGCTCTTGCTTTGGCACTTGTGACTGCGAAGGAATATACTGAGGTTTCTGCGCTGGACTTGCTTCCTTTGGTGTCGGCATCTGTGAATGCGAGGAGACATGCTGCGGTGTGCCTGGGGTCACTTCTGCTGAAGCCACTTGTGCCTGATGCGGTGGCGGTTGCGTCTGGGGCACTGCTGACTGACCACTGGATGCTCCAAACTGTGCAAAGAGATACTTGAGCTTGTTTGCCTGCATCTGCGACCCCAACTGTCGGGCATGTATATGTGCTGCTCGGCAGTTCTGCTGATTCCATATCTCCTGAAGCGAAGCCGTTGCCTGGGCCAGCGCGCCGGACTTTCCTTGCCCCTGCACCTTCTGCCGGCACGCAGCTGGGGGAGGCGGCGGAGGCGGCGGAGGCGGCGGCGTGGCAGGCGCAGCAGCAGCCGAGGGCCCAGCACCCACACCCTGTGGAGCCTGCTGGGGGCGCAGGCGGTGGAGGTCGAGCAGATACGGTACGTTGAAGTGGCATCGCTCGGACGTGTGTATTTTTCTTTTTGCGAGAATCATCGAGGACCATCCTGGACCATCGAGCAACAAAAACACGCACTAAACTGAAACATGCACGGGAAATGGCCGTCCGAGCGATGGCAAGTTGATCGATGTCCAAATGAGAATCCATATTTGCAGTGAGATTTTGCTCCGTGTTTTGCTTGCTTGCGTGTATTCCGTGTGCACATCATCACGTTGACTGACCAAATCGCCCAGTTGGTTCTCGATGCTGTCCAACTTCTTTTTGGGTGTATCTGCACGTTTGCTGCTCGACTTCTCTTGCTCGGCTCCTGGCAGGAGCTGTAGAATGCCTGCTTTGAGCACGGAAACTTTGGTGATCTCAATTGCCTTCGACGTGCCAGCCGCTTTGAGCGAAATGATGAGCTCTGTCAGATGGTACATACGTCTCCATTGCTTCTGCTTGTGATATTTGGCCCTATTCTTGTCATCCAGAGCTGGCGGTGTTGCCCAAGAGCCAGAAACTGTTGCCAACTGCGGATACATGGGGCCAATATCATTGATACATTTCCTTGCTGGTCCTTCCTTTCTCTTGCGGCTTGCTGATCTGTATTTGGCGTCCTGCCTTGTTTTGTCACGTGATTTCGATGTGGCCTATCCTGCTGCTGTTTCTGGCACCCCGCCCCCCAGTGCTTACAATACCAGAACGTCGTCCCATTCTGTGTGCCTGACTGTTGGCACTTCCAACCCGTCATCTGTGCAGAATGATGTCGAGCAGGTCGGGCTTCAGCCGTTCGAACTCTCAGCGCTGTGCGGCTTGCCGCACACAGCCTGCGCAATCTGCGGTGCCAAGCAGGCTCGGCTTGGCGCAGCCGCAGCGATGGGCCACGGCCCGCAGCGAGGGACCGTTGGTTCCTGCACAGCCCCGTCGGGAGCTGCCGCCGCGGGCCAGCCGCAGCCAGGCCGCGTGATCGCGCGGCAGACGCGCGGGATCGCCTTTGCGGGGCGCGCGCGCGGTGGGGGGCGCCGCGCCCCGTTCGAGGGCAACGCCTCCTCCTCCTCCTCCTCCTCCTCCTCCTCCTCGTCCTCCTCCATCTCCTCCTCCTCCTCCTCCTCCTCCTGCTCGTTCGCTCCCCAGTCTCCTCTCGCCCCCGTCGATGTTCCTCCGCCCGTTCGCACCCTTCCCGCCCTGTCAGGGGCTCCCCCGTACCCTCTCGTTCCCGAACGGTTTCTCCTCTCCCCAGTCCCCCCTCATCGTTCTTCTCCTACTCCTCCTCCTCCTCCTCCTCCTTCTCCCCCCCCTCCTCCTCCTCCTCCTCCTTCTCCTCCTCCTCCTCTTCCTCCTCCTTCTCCTCCTCCTCCGCTTGCTCCTCCTCCTCCTCCTCCTCTTCCTCCTCCTTTCCCTCGGGGGCCTGGGCGCGGTGGAGCCGCGGCGGCGCCCGTGGCGGAGCCAGGGGGGGCCGACGAGGCTGACACGGCTTGGATCCTCCCCGAAGCAACGAACAAGAATCAATGATACATGTATACGTATATATCTACACACGTATAGCTACACACCTATATATTTATACATATATATATATATATATATATGTGTGCACGCGTTACACATATACATATATATATATATGTATATATATTGTGTATATATATATACATACATGTCTTGCCCCACCCCAGCACCCCCAAACGGCGGAGTGAGGGGGAGGAGGGGTGGTTCCCCCTCAGCGTCCTTTTCTTTTTCCTCCTGCTCTTCTTCGTCTTCATGGTTCCTCCTCCCCCATCATGGGGTGCATCCTCCTCATCGTCACTATCTTCATTTCCCTGCTCCTCATCCTCCTCGTTCCTCCTCACTCTCCTCCTCCTCCCCATCTTCATCCTCCTGCTGCCCCTCCTCCTCCTCCCACTCCTCCTCCTCCAGGAGGAGGAGGAGGAGGAGGAGGATATAGGCTTTCAATCGGACTCCTTTTGTATTCGACTTCGTTCGCATTTCTGTTGTATTGGGTTTCAATCGGGATTTTTTTGGTGTTGGCTTTCAGTCGGAATCCTTTAGCAGAAGCTTTCAATAGGAATCCTTGTGTACAGGCTTCCAAGAGGAATATTTTTGTATAGCTTTCAATAGGAGTTCTTTTGTATTGGCTTTCGCTTGGATTCCGTTTGCAGTGGTTTTCATTAGAATTCTTTTTGTGTTTGCGCTCGTTGGAATTATTTGGGTATGGGTTTCAATAGGAGTCCTTTTGTATTGGCTTTCAATGTGATTATTTCTCCCAATCATCCTGTGGTGTTGGGTCCTCGTTTTGAAGAGACAGCGCCCCGCGTCCCACCTTCCTTCCTCCTCCCCCCCTCCTCCCCCTCCTCCCTCCTCCCCCTCCTTGCCTCTGCTCTCGGCACATCTCTCACACTTTTCGTAGCCCCATAGGGAGCTCCACCGAAGGCCCCAGTGGCTGCTCTCGCATGCGGTTCCCCACCCAGGGCAGCGTTCCGTGGCCCCATAGGGAGCTCCACCGAAGGCCCCAGTGGCTGCTCTCCCATGCGGTTCCCCCACCCAGGGCAGCGTTTCGTGGCCCCATAGGGAGCTCCCGAGCGGCATGAGGAGGCATTGGAGGTCGGGGGCGGAACGCATACAGTGGGGGCCCATGCCAAGACACGCCCTGGTTGCCTCCAGGGTGCCCAGGGTGCCCTGGCCTTCTTGGGTCTCGATGGTTTTGCCATGGAAAGCGCGACGCTGCCGCGCCCGAATCAGTGGACGCCCTGTTGGGTCTCCTGGTTAGGAGGAGGAGGAGGAGGAGGAGGAGGAGGAGGAGGAGGAGGAGGGTCTTCCCTCCGCTCCCCGTCCTTCTCCAGGCCGAGCAGCGCCCACCGCCAGAGCAGCCGCCCGTGGCCCAGAGCGTCGGGGTCAGCGGTGGCTGGGGCAGGGCCGACAGGGGTGGGCGGGCGGAGGTCTTGAGGGCGTTCGGGCCTAGGAAGGGGGAGTTCGAGCAAGTCCGCGACCCCGCCCGCCAGTCCCTGGAGCGAGGCGAGAATGGCAGCGCTGAAGAGTGCGCGTTCGAAGTTGAGCTCGAATGATTGGGGCTGGACCCTACGCTTAGCACAAACTCACGCCATGCCATACCTCGGCGCCCTCCCTCGTCCCTCTTCCTCGCACTGCTTGCCTCACTCCCCTCCTCCCTGTTCCTTCTTCCTCCCTCGGAGGAAGTCTCCGGTGGCCTCAGGCCTCTGCATGGATGTCCCTGGAAGTCTGCAGGGTGGTCGCAAGTGCCCTCCGGAGATCCTTACTGAATGCCAAGAACCACCTCAGGTGGCCCCCGCAGAATGCCAAGACCCTCCATCGTGTCTTCGTCGTCTGGCCTTCCAGGAGGCGAATGGTGGCCCCAGGACCTTTGAGCTCCATGCTGATAGAGTTCTGTAACAGTCCTGATGTGTTTCCTAGGTCTGGCCGTCTAGCACCAAGGTCGTCGTCTCTCCCTCCGCGCCCGCGTGGGCCCCCGTGGGCCTCCAGAGGTCTCGACCGCTTCCCCCGGGCCAGCCCTTCACACCGAGCTGATTGCAACGGTCCCCGGGGCACGGGAAGGGCCCCACATGCCTAGAATTGCCACGACGATTTGCGTGTGTGTTTTTTTTGTTTCGAGACGACGACGACGACGACGACGACGACGACGACGACCACGGAGGCGGGGGGCGGTGCCCTTCCTCCCCCCTTCGAAGGTATCCATAGACCTCTCGGAGGCCTCCCGAGGCCCAAAGTGCCCCAGAGCCTCCATCTCTCGTTTCGCCCTCCCTCCCCCCTGCACCTCCTCCTCCTCCGCCTCTGCCTCCGCCTCTGCCTCCGCCTCCTCATCCTCCTCCTCCTCCTCCTCCTCCCTCCTCCTCCTCCTCCTCCTCCTCCTCCTCCTCCTCCTCCTCCTCTTCCTCCTCCTTCTCCAGCAATTCCCCAGAGCCTCCATCTCTGATTTCGCTGGTTAGGTCGAAGTTTTCCTTCCGATCCCGGCCGTCCGCCGCCTCTGGCTCGCCACACTGGCCACCCGAGGCGAAGCGAGCCACGTTGTGATCGAGTCGGCGGAGAGTCCCTTCTCTTTGACCCTTTCCTGGCCCGGGAGCGGGGGCCCGTGGGGGGTCCCAGGGGGAGGCCCCAAGAGCCCCCAGGAGACCCCCAATTGCCCCCTCAAGGGCCCCCCAGGAGACCCCCAATGGCCCCCTCATTGCACTCCCGCGCAATTTCTGTATACGGATCCCTGCGCTTCAGGCTTCGGTTCGTGCTCAAAGACGGCGCGCGTCGCCCCTCAACGGTTGCGGCCACAAGGAGCGAAGGGCAAAAGCGATGTTTGACGTGGTCAAGCAAGTGCAAGAGACGGCAAACGCGGACAAATCGTGATCCTTTTTGCCCCGACATCCCGACGTGCGAGATAGACTGCCTCCCCCTCCACATCCCCTTTCCATCCCGCAGGCGCGTCGGGTTGGCGAGCCGCCGGATCTGTCCCCCGCCGAGGCGGCACCCGCGCCCTGGGGGGGCGGTGCTGACTGCCAGGGCGGAGGTCCAGCCGTCTCTTTTCGCTCCTCCGTCCACCCTTTCCTCCCCTCCCTCCCTCCCCCCTCCTTCCGTCCTCGTGCTCTCATCATTTTGCCCCCTCCTTCCCTCCCCCTTCCCCCCCCCTCCCTCCCTCCCTCCCCTCCCTCCTCGTTCCCTCCTCCTCCTCCTCCTCCTCCTCCTCCTCCTTCTCCTCCTCCCCCTCCCCCTCCCCCTCTCCCCCCTCCCGCGCAAGCTCGGCTCGGGTCCCCTTGGGCCTCGCGGGCCCGCGCCGCGCCGCTGGGGTCCTCCGCGCCGCGCCGCGCTCCTCTTCCGGCCACGGCTGGGCGGCCAAGCGCGCGCGGCGCGCTCCGCGGCAGAGCGAGGCGCGCGGGCCGCCCGCGCCCAGGCCCTGGCTGGCCAGTGATCGGTGCGCGGCCTGGCTGCGCTCCAACTCCGCGGGTGCCTGGGGCGAGCCTCCCGCGTCAATCACTCCAGATTTCATAATAAAGGGAGGGGGGTCTCATTTCGGGGGGGGGTCTCTTCCAGGCTATCTTGGAGGGCCTGGGGGGTCTGGGGACGACGTTGTGGAGGGTTCTCCCACGGGGGAGGGTCTGAAATGGCTTGTCTTGGAGGGTCCAGACCCCCTCCCTTTTATTTATTACGAAATCTGGGGTAGGCGGCGGAGCGGCCCCAGGGCCGTGGGCAACTAGGTTCACGCGTGGCTGTGGAGGCCGCGCCCGGTGGAGTCGTGGGTCGGGTCCTGTGCCGGGGCCGCCGCGACACGGCACCCGCCCCGCCCTGCCCTGGTGGCGCCAGGCAGGACGGAGGGCGCCCGCGGGTGGTCGCGAGGCACTCGCCCAGCCTGCAAGCGCGGGAAAGCTGGCTGGCCAGTTATCGATGCCCGGCCCGGCTGCGCTCCAGCACCGCGGGTGCCTCCCGTCCATCTTGGGCGCCGCCCTGCCCCAGGTGCTGGGCGCCGACTTCCCTCGCGATGGCCATGGAGCCGCTCTTTCTGTCTCTGTTTCTGTCGGCGGGCCACCTCACGAAGCTGGAGGGGGTCGTGAACGCCAGCTTGGTGCTGGCCAGGTCGAGCCAGCACCTGCCGACGCTCATCCCGGCTTGCGCAGGGGGAACCCACCCAGAAAATTGCCATGTTGCATCGGCATCGGTTCCTCATGATTACGTTCGTGATCTCTCAGTCGTTGTTTCGCGTCGTGCTGCTGAGCGTCGGGGGATCAGTCAGTGATCGGCAAGATGATACACGTGTTCTTCGTCCGTCGTCTTCGGGAAAGAAGGTCCCGCCTCTGGAAGATGGCTCTAGAGATGTTGGTCCCTCTGCTGAGCGTCGTAATCGTATTCGGTCTTTTCCAGGTGTTCCTCCTGCTTCTGCTCCTGGTACGGTTCTTGCTGAGGCCAGGGTACGAGCAATGACAAGGGCGTTCACAGTGAGCGAGCCAGCTCACCTGATCATTGGGACGGCAGAGTTGTTCCTTGCAGGTTCGGCCCACCGTCGTCGTTGCCGTCGTCGATCGCGTTGCTGCGTCCGTCCGCTCGTCCGTCGTCGTGGTCGTCGCTGTCGGTGTCGTTTGTCTTCATCGCCGCCGTCGTCTCGCGTCCTCGTCGCCGTCTTGGTCGGTGGCCGCCCTTTTCTCTGCTGGGACCTCGTGCCCCATTGCGGGCGAAGCGCGAGGCCCACTTGAAATCGTGGGATGTTCCTCTTCCCCTGATCCTGCTACTCGTCGCCCCCTCCCCTGGCATCGCTCGGACGTGCGTATGTGCCCGGCGGGAACCATCGAGGAGCATCTTGGGCCATCTCGCGAAAAAAAAACGCACGAAACCACCAGACACACGGGGAAGGGGTGCCCAACTGAGCGGGCGCCCGCGTCCCTGCGGGAGGCCTCCTGCGCGCGGGCGGCAAGATCCTTCCTCCTTTTCCTCCTCCCCCTTGTCCTCTTCGTCCACCCTCCTCCTCCTCCTCCTCCTCCTCCTCCTCCTCCTCCTCCTCCTCCTCCTCCTCCTCGTCCTGCTCCTCCTCCTCCTCCTCCTCCTCCTCCTCGTCCTGCTCCTCCTCCTCCTGCTCCCCTTCGTTCCCTCCTGCCCGCCTCCTCGCCCCCTCCGCCGCCGCCTCCTCGCCCTCGTGCGAGGGAGGTGCCCCGCGGAGGGAGGGCGAGAGCCCGAGCCTCCTCCAGAGACTCGAGCGCGAGGGGCAGCCGAGGCTCGGCACGCCTCCGCCGGGCCGCCCCTGCCGCGGAGGGGCGCGGCGCAAATGAGACCTGCAGGGCGGCGCCTGGGAGCCCAGGCCTCTTGGACACGACTGGACAGAAGAGGACCTTCCTCCTCCTCCTCCTCCTCCTCCTCCTCCTCCTCCTCCTCCTCCTCCTCGTCCTCCTCCTCCTCCTCCTCCTCCTCCTCCTCCTCCTCCTCCTCCTCCATTTCCTCCTCCTTCTCCTCCTCCGCCTCCGCCTCCTCCTCCATTTCCTCCTCCGCCTCCTCCGCCTCCTCCTCCTCCCCAGCACCAGGGAGGGCGAGGACAGGGGCCGGCCAGCAGCAGCAGCACGGGGAAAGGGCGGCCCCCGTCCTGCACGGGTCGGCCTCACAGATTCGTAAGAGTGTCAGGGGGGACAAAACACACACACACACAGAGACTCGATTAATCGTCGATTCCCCAGAAAACTGCGAAAATGTTGGAAGTGGGGGGGAAGACAAAAACACAGAAAGTATGGGATTCTGCGGGGAATAGCTTTATTTGTGTGTATTTATATGTGTGTCCCAGGGCCCCTTCAGAGTGACTTTTCGCCAGGGTGACCTCTGGTGCGGGCACACATGGGTTCCCCCGATCGCCGACCGCGACGCGGTAGCAGCGGCTTGCGCGCCTGTCGGGAGATTTGAGACGGGGGTTAACGCGAACGGGGGTCAGCCAGAGCGCCAGATCTTGCAGGATCCTGCAGGGCCAGGCTCCCACTGACCCGGGCTTTGGTGCGGGATCCCGCAGGATCTTGCAGGATCCTCCGCATTCACCCGGGTTTGGGTGCAGGGCCTTGCAGGATCTTGCAGGATTCTGCAAGCCCTGGCTGACCCGGGTCTGGGTTGACCCGGGTCAGGAGATCCCCGAGCCTGGGTTTGGCCAGCTCTCGCGCCCCCCGTTAAGCTGCGCACCGAAGGTCGCTCCTGCCTAGGGTCACCCTTGCGTAGAGATTGATTTGCCCCAGGACTGACTCGTTCGTATAATCCGTAGAAGCCGCCAGGGATGCGTAGAGTGTTCGTGGATCTACGAGCTTTCTACGGACGACTCGACGTGAAAATCAGTCTCGGGGCAAATCAATTGTGTAGTCGACCCCCTACTCGATAGATGGGGTCGGAGCAGGTGGGGTCGGAGGACCGCGCCACATCGCCGATGCACCGCCGATGCGGCTCGATGTGGAGCCCGATTTGCTTCACGTCGACGTCGTCGATGCATCGCCGACGTTGACGGTGCAACGCCTGTGTATCGACAGCGCATCGACGGTGCATCGCCAATGCATCGTGCTACATCGGCGATGCGGCGCGATCTTCCAACCCCCCATCTATTCCGACACAATCTAGGAGGCCTCCAGGGAGGGGGTACGGGCAGCAATATTGTTGGACCCTGTTGGCCAGTACACAGATGTGTTTTGCAGCCGCCTTCTGGATGCCGCTTTCCGGGCCGAGGTGTCGGGGGCATCGAGCCTTGAATTTGTCCAGAGATGCCGAGTCGTCGGAGGTCCTCGGGGAGTGCGAGGACCGAGAGAGCAGAGGACGAGAGCATCGGCGTGCTCGGTATGCCTGATGGCCCCCTTGAGGCCTCGTGGGCTTCCCAATGGGACATCCAAGGACTCCACTGGCCACCAGAAGCCGCCGCCTCCCATGGGGTCCCAGGGAGAGGGAGGACAGAGGAGGGGTCCCAGGGCTGGGCGGGATCAAGGGACACGGGCCCCCAAAAATGTACACCACCACCAGCTCCCTCACTCCCTCCCTCTCCCAGGAAGGAGGAGATGGAGAGAAGGGTAGAGGAGGGAGGAGGAATCGACGTGGTGGTGGTGTACATGCTTGGGACCCGCAAGGGAAAGCACCGCGGGAGGCGCGCTCAGAAGCCCGTGTCAGCACGAGAGCGAGCAGCAGCAGTTGCGGGGTGCATTGTGCAGAGGCGCGGTGCGGTCGAAGCCGGGCTCACGGACGAGCCCTGGAGTGGGGAGCCTTGAGATGGGGTCAATGCAAACGGGGGTCAGCCAGAGCGCCGGTTCGTGCAGGATCCTGCAGGGCCAGGGTCGCATTGACCCGGGCTTGGGCGCAGGTTCCTGCAGGATGCTGCAGGATCCTGCAGGGCCAGGGTCGCATCGACCGGGGCTTGGGTGCAGGATCCTGGAGGCTCCTGCAGCATTCTGCAGGGCCTGACTGCCCCAGGTCTGGATTGGCCCGGGTCAGCAGGTCCCCGACGGAGGCGGGGGTGGGGGCGTCTGCCCCCTCGGCCCGAGGGCACCTGCGGTGGCGTTGCGCGTCCCAGGCGCACCGCGCCGCGCCCCACTGTGCGCCATCCGCGCGGCCGAAGCCGAACTGGGCCGGGCGGAGGTGCGCACCGCCCGTGCAGTCCGCCGATGGGGTCGCGGGCGCTCTCGGCCCACTCGGCTGCGGAGCACGGCGGCGGCGGCGGCCGCACTCCCAAGGGCACGTCGGGGCGGCGAGGCGCGCGACATCGCTCGAGATCGGGGCTCGGTCAGCCCCAGCTCCCCCTTCGAGCGGGGGGGAGGACCTCGTGGGCTGAGGGCCGCCAGGGGGCTGCAGACAGGTCGTGGCAGCGCCCCTGGCCTCCTCCCGTCTCCCGTCCCTGTCCTCGCCCCGCCTTCCTCTTCTTGTTCCCCTTGTGCGCCCTCTTAGCGCACGGGTATCTCATATTTGTGTCCTCCTCGTTAAGGCCCTACAGACTCCTGCTGTCCCTCGACTCGCGCTGAAGCGTCCACGATTTGCCCCAGGCTCCCCTGGAGATCTCTGGGTTTACCTTGATCTGTTTGAACGCATCTCGATTTGTTTTGGATTTACCTTGATTCACCTGGCTTGATCCCCGCAAGATGATCAATGGACTTAGAAGCACGACTCCAATCGTGCCGTGCCTAGCTTCGTATGCCACCCACCCAGATCCGTGAAGACGTTTGCAGTGACCCTTGGCAACGCTATGGTCTATGGTCCTTAGAAGTCAGTTGTTCACACGTTGTGTGCACACGATCGCAGTACAGTACATGAGGAGTCCGCCAAGCTGCACCCAGAGGAGGTGAGAGGAGGAGTAGCAGCAGCACGAGGACGACGAGCACGATAAGGAAGATGAGGATTAGGGCCCAGTAAAGGCGGCCCCGGCAGAAGCAGTCAAGCAGAGGCGGCTCAAGCTCATGGCAGATTCTCAAGTTTGGAAGCAATGGGCCCAGCACAGGGAGGCCCCCGATCTGCAGACGCAGCTGCCCCCAGCAAGGCCGACTGCAATCCGCTTGCGGCCCACGTCGAACAAAGGCTTCAGGGCGCAGCGCTGAAGTAGTCGAGGCGATCGCAGCCTTGGGCCGATGTTTGTCCGATCGGTACAACGCGATAGCCGTTCTGGCCAGCTCGATCTGACTCGGTTGTTCCGACGAGCCCGCGCGACCCGGTGGTTGCATGGCGTTGTCGTGCACCCTGGCGCGGCCAGACCGATTCGTCTTCGATTCCGTGCCGATGCAGCCCGATCTGACACGCGGTCCCATTCGATCCGATTGCCCGATCCGATGTTGACCGATCCTCGGGGGAAAGTCACCTCGGTTGACGAAATGTGCAGCGCTGTTTTTGTTGCCACTTCCTGCCAGATCTGGCTGTCGTCGTGTTCTGATTCGCGCTGGGGGGTTCGAGCGGAAAAGTTAGCGCGAGGTTCGGCGGATAGTTCGGGCGACAGTCATTCTATACATCAGTTGTTGATGCATGCATTATCCCGCCCTCTTTCTGGACGCCGTGGCGAGGCGAAGGTGCGCGCCGGCATCAAGTGGCAGAAGGCTTGCTTGTGTCGGGCGCCCCTGCGCCAAGTGGCCCACTGCACTGCGCATTTGGAAATTATCCCGCTTGTTCAGCACCCTTGAGATTTCCTCCCCTTTGTAACTTCTCCCTCCTGCTTCATCCTTGCCATCGCCTCTGGCCCCCCTCTCCATGTTCCTCCGCTCCAGCTCTGTCTCTGTCTCTCTATCTCTCTCCTTCTCTATGTCTCTCTCTCTCTCTCTCTCTCTCCCTCCCTCTCGATCCGCCACGGCCCCTCGTCGCTTTGTTTGTTCTCATTGTTATGCTCTTTCGCTCTGCCTTCGGAGGGTGAAAAGACACCCCTACCCCTACCCGTTCTGCAGTCTTGCCCCTGTTGGGTCCTCCTCGGGGGCCCTCGTCGCCACGGCTGGATTGGCCTCGAAGTTCTGGTCAGAACGCACCCCTGGAGAGGTCAGGGGAGCAGCGGTGTGGGTTCCTGTTGGATTCCCCATTTCTGTCTTCTCCCTCCTCTCTCCTCTCTCCTCTCTCCTCCCTCCTCCCTCCTCTCTCTCCTCTCTCCTCTCTCCTCTCTCCTCTCTCCTCTCTCCTCCTCCTCCTCCTCCTCCTCCTCCTCCTCCTCCTCCTCCTCCTCCTCCTCTCTCCTCCTCCTCCTCCTCCTCCTCCTGCCCACCGGGGGGCACGCCCGGCGCGGAGCCTGCGGCTCGCGGATGCCCCTTGCCTCCCCCCCTTCGGGCCGCTCGAGGCCTCCCCCGTCGGGCCACGGGAGGGGCCAGTCCGCCGTGTGTCTCACGGGCGCCCTCGAGGGCGCGAAGCGATTCGCGCTTCGCGGTCCTCGTTCCTTCTCCCCCTCCTCCTCGTCCTCCTCCTCCTCGTCCTCCTCCTCCTCCCCCTCCTCGTCCTCCTCCTCGTCCTCCTCCTCCCCCCCTCCCTCCTCGTCCTCCTCCTCCTCCTCCTCCTCCTCCTCGTCCTCCTCTTCTCTTTTTGGGGTGGCGGCGCGAGAGCGCGAGGTGATTCGCGCTGCGCGCCGCGCGCGATAGGCGAGGTTGGGAGCCCCTGCTGCCCGCACGGTGCTCACGGCGGGTGGGCTGCTCCATTCCCGTGGCCGGGTCGGGGAGAGCAGGGAGAAGCCCGCGCAGGGCGGCAGGAAGCGGCAGGAGCGGCAGGAGGAGAGAGAGAGAGAGGGAGGGGGGAGCAGGAGGGAGCGAGAGAGAGAGAGAGGGAATGGGGGGGAGAGGGGGGGAGAGAGAGAGAGAGAGAGAAATATATAGAGAGGGAGGGGGAGAGAGAGAAGGAGAGCTGGCGCGGAGAGAGACGGGGCGGCGGCTCGAAGTACACCGGTGCAGGGGCGAACGCAGGAGCAGCGAGTGCGCGAGGAACGACGGGCGGGGGAGACGCCCCCCCCCCGACGCTTGTGAAGACACTCGGGGTAACTCCTCCTCCTCCTCCTCCTGCCCCGAGTGCGCGAGGAACGACGGGTATCCAGACCTCGCGTCGTGAACATTACTGAAGTTGTTTGGCAACTGTTGGCCTCGGCAAGCCCTGAGCGGACGCCATGGCCGTCAACCAGTGACATATCCAGGATGCATGGCCAGCCCTGTGGAATCGGTCGAGACTTTTGATGCCAACGTTGTGCAATATGCTAGCCAGTGCAGGCCCCAAGCAGTAGCGGATTGCACTGTAGATGTAAGATGAGGTGTAAGCTATGTGGTGCAAGCCATGTGGTGAAGGACATCCAGTGCAAGCTCTGTGGTGTAAGCTCGGTGGTGCAATCTGCGGGGTGCGAGCTGTGTGGCGACGCTGCGAAGGGATGGCAACGGGCGGCACGGGGGCGCATCCTCGGCGGACCCTCCCAGCGGCAAGGAGGCGGCAGCGGGCGGCACGGGGGTGAATCCCCGGCGCCGCCCCCCCGGCGGCAACGAGGCGGCAGCGAGGCGGCAGCGTGGCGAACCCCCGACGATCCGCCCCGCGGGCGGCAACGGCGCGGCAACGGCGCGGCAGCGTGGCGCGCCCTCGGCAGACCCACCGAGCGTCGCCGAGGCGGCAACGACGCGGCAGCGCAGCGCAGCTCCGGCGCACCCCAATCGGCTTCGGCCCCCCTCGGGGTGCCCCCCTCGGCTTCGGCCCCCCTCGGCTTCGGGCCCCCTCGGCTTCGGCCCCCCTCGGAGAGCCCCCCTCGGCTTCGGCCCCCCTCGGGGTGCCGCCAGAGAGCCCCGGGCCGACGAAAGGGGGGGATTGGGAACGGGGGGGGGACGAAATTTGCTGCACGCAGTTGGTTTCGGCCTCACCGAGGGGCCCATTCCTCGATACGTAGCCGCCTCTGGCGCCGGGAGGCGCCGGGAAATCAGGTACGTGAGCTGGTTCTCAAACCCTCCTTTGCTATCCCCCCTTTCGCCGGACCCGACCCGAGCGGTAGGGACGCGGCAGGTGGCGGCAATTTGGGGAATCCTCGGCGGACCCCGAAAGCGGCAGCGAGCAGGGGCTCCCACGAGGCCGCGAAGGGAGTCGCGCTCCGCGGTCCTCGTTCCTTCTCCCCCTCCTCCTCGTCCTCCTCTTCTCCCTTCCTCCTCCTCGTCCTCCTCTTCTCCTTCTCCTCCTCCTCGTCCTCCTCTTCCTCCTCCTCCTCGTCCTCCTCCTCCTCGTCCTCCTCTTCTCCCCCTCCTCCTCCTCCTCCTCCTCCTCCTCCTCCTCCTCCTCCTCCTCCTCGTCCTCCTCCTCGTCCTCCTCTTCTCGGCGCGAGAGCGCGAAGTGCTTCGCGCTGCGCGCAGCGCGAGAGCGCGCGAGGTTGGGGAGCCCGAGACGAGGCGGCAGCGGCCAGCAACGGGCGGCGGCAACGGGCCAGGACATATGGCGAGTTCTCGGGGCACCCCCCACAGGCAGCCGCGCGCCGCAGCGTGGGGAGTCTTCGGGGCAGCCCCGCAGGCGGCAGCGGGCGGCGACAGTTCGGGGTGGACAGAACCCCCAGCAGTGACACGTCGATTAGTGAATTGTCCGTCTTCGGTTCTCGCGAGGGCGCCATGGCCGTTATTTTCCGGGCTTGCGCCCGACGGGTTTGGGCCTCAGGTCGTTTTCACGAAGCCACGTTTTACTAAAGGGGGGTCTGTCCATCCCCGAAGGCAGCAACGCGCCGGAACGTGGCGAATCTTCGGGACACCCCCACAAGCGGCAACGGGCGGCAACAGGCTGGAGTCCGGACGCCCGAAATGGGCACGGAAAGAGTGGGCACAATGCCCAACAGCAGTTCTTGTGCATTTTGCACAGGATTCGCTGTCCACGCCGCCGCGGCCTGTGTCCATTCGAGACAGGAGGCCGCCTGCCCAGCAGCGGCCGCTGTTGGTCTGGGACAACATTTGCTGTTGGGCATTGCCCATTTCGGGCGTCCAAATGGAAGGTGGCGAGTCCCCGGAACACCCCACAGGCCCACAGGCGGCACCAGCAGGCAACGGGGTGTGGCGAAGAAGCCAGAGCGTGGCGAATCTTCGGGAAGCCCATCGAACCCTTTTGAATCGCAGGTAACAGCCCCCAATTAAGTGCAAGAACTGTTTGTGGAACGCGACGACGTCGGAGGTCTGGGTAATTTTGGCGGCACGAACAGCCACGCGGAGGGACCCGCCAACCGAGCCGCGTGAGGAGATGGCGGATTTGTTGAACGGCTACTTGGACAACATCGCTGGTGCGTTCAAGGAACGGCTCTCGGGGCTTTGATCTTTTGACTGCAGAATTGTCGGCAGCGCGCCCAGGTGGGAAGGCAGAGGGGGCGGGCCTTCTCAGAAGGCTCACAAGGCTTCAGGCCTCCTCAGAAGCTTTCGACGCCTTCTCCGAAGACACAGATTGCGTCTCAGAAGGCCAGAGGGCTTTCGAGAAGACATGCCGCCATCTGAAGAGGCCCGCCCGCTATGCCTCCCTCCCCGGGCCTGCCGCCGAAATTGGTATTCTCGTGTGCCCTTGGAGTTTCGATCCGCTCCATTCGACCCCCTCCTACCAGGCTGCATGTGAACCCTCAAAAGGTGGACGCGCAAGTTCCCGCCCCCTTTCGACCAGGTCCCATCGTCTCGGCCACCCTCCCCGCCTCCCGCCCCAGAAAATGCAGAGTGGCGGGCCCTGGACGTTTTCTCCAATGGGGCGGGCAAACGGTTCTGTGGTTGCCGTTTCGCCCCACTCAGCTCAGTTCAGGGAGGAGTGCCCACTCTCCTCCCATGGCTCCAGCCTGCTGGTTCGGGGGGAAGTCTGCCAAGGCAGGATTTGTCTCACTGGATAATGAACGTTCACATCGTGGCTTGCAGCGGGCAAGTGCAGCAACTGTTTCCTCCACAGCGTAGGCGGCTCCATCGCCTTCTAAATTTGACTCGCGGGTGCACCAATGTGTGGAGCGACGAGACACAGATATAGCCTTCCGCTCTTTCACACATCGCCCATCATCGCCCATATTCTGCCGCTTCCCCATGCCTTCATTCCATTTCCCATCATACCCTCCTTCCGTCCTGCTTATTCTTCCCGCACACACCTTCCACGGTTGCTTCCTACAATGGGGGGGCATTGGTTTTCAGCACCTCTTTCTCAAAACTCTTCGCGTGATCCCAGAGTTTAATAAGGCGGATCACTAGTATCGAAGACGCCTACGGCGAATCACCGCCGCCCCCTGCCTTTTTGGAAGCGCCTATGTGGCCGAACGTTGAGGCCAGACCTGCCAAGCTATCGGACCACGTGTTCCCCGAATCGGTTTGGAAAGCCTTCGGGGAACACGTGGGCATCTTGAAGGTCATCTTGGCCGTCTTGGAGGCCTCTTGGGCAAGCTTTGGGCGATCTTTGGGGCTTTTTGGGCCGTCTCGGGCCAGCTTCGAGCCAACTTCGGCCATCTTGGTGGGTTCCTGGCACGTCTGAAGCCGTCGGAAGCCGTTTGGGGGGCCTCTATGGGCCGACTTGGGGCCCGCTTGGAATGCTCCAGGGCCGTCTTGGAGGCCATCTTGGGCGTCTGGGAGGCCATCTTGGGCGTGTTGGAGGCCTCTTGGGCCCTCTTGGGGCCCTCTAGGGGCCATCTTGGAGGCCACTTGGGCCATCATGGGGCTCTCTTGGGGGCCTCTTGGGCGATCTTGGGGGCTTCTTGGGCCGTCTTGAGCCGTCGGAGAGCCGAAAAGGCGCAAATGCCAAAATCCTTCAAAAACCAAGGGAAAATCAATGATTTTGGCCTCTTCGGACTCTCCTGGAGGACCTCTTGGAGGCCTCTTGGGCCGTCTGGGAGGCCTCTGCGGGGCCTCTTGGGCCGTCTTGGGCCGTCTTGGACTCTCTTGGGCCGTTTTGGAGGCCGTCTTGGACCATCTCGGGCGGACTTGGAGGCCATCTTGGGCCATCTTCGCGATTGTTTGAGGATGTCCCGAGCGAAACGTCCGTTTTTTGGAGGATTTGTTCCGGATTGAGGTCCTTTCGGCTTCCTCCCGGGACCCCGGCGGGACGGGCCGAAGCCCATTGGGGAGTTCTTTTAGAAAAAGAACCAAAACCAAAACCTGAATCATCCAGCACGCCGTGCACCCCTGCAAGCAGGGGGCGGCGGATCTAGTGGCCTTCGGCCCACTCCGCCACCGTGCCTGGGTTGTGGGCAATCTGCCTTCAGATGTTCGTGGGGATGTCGCGGGAGGCCTCTCGAGGGCATCTTAGGGGCCTCGAGGGCACGGTGTCGTACAGATATGCGCAGATGTATATATATATATATATATATAGTTGTATGTGTGTATGTATGCATGCATGCATGCATGCATGCATGCATGCATGCATGTATGTATGTATGTATGTATGTATGTTTATTTGTAGCGTCGCACATCTGCTCAGGGCTCGGCGGGCCGCGACGCCAAGCTGCTCACGGCACCATCGGGCTGCGCCATGTCGTCGCCTCTGCCTCCTTGCGCTTGCGCGAGGCCCTTGGCGCGCTGAAGCTGGTTCCCCTCGTGGGGACGCGCCGTTGCGCGTGGTCAGTTGCAACCCGCTCACGTCGGGCAGGCGCCTTTGCGCCGAGGAGATCAGCCAGGTACTGGAGCGCCGCGCGTGATGGTGCTGCAGGGCACGCAGGTGAAGTGGCGTGGCGGCGGGGACGTCTCGAAGCAGACCTTGCCGGACCACGGCGCGCGCCACTGCGGCTGGGAGCGGGGCGGGCACACCGACGAGGCGTGCGATGTCTCGGTCTTTTTCAAGACGGGGCTCAAGGTGCTGAAGTCGCTGTCGCCGCCACTGGGTTTGCGGGGGCGCGGCGGCGGCGCCGGCCTGAGGCGGGGCGCGCTGGTCATCCTGGTGTTGGCCCTCTACGACGCGCTGGGCATGGTCAAGCACGAGGCGGGGGTCTTCTCGCCGCCCTCTGAGGTGAGCGGGCTTGCCGAGCCCGCGCTGATGCGCCAGTCGGGCACGGCGAGCGAGCAGCTCTGCGAGGAGGGTGGGCTCGCCACGGTCAACGCCGTCCTCGAGTGCTCTGCCTTCTCGTGGCCAGCCGTGGTCGCGTTGCCCCGCGAGCTCATGCCGAGCGTCGAGGGCCGCAAGCCGCTCTACGCGATCGGCGACAGGCTGCGAGCCATTCGAGCCCTTAACAGGAGGGACCACACCAAGCTGTGGGTGATGTGGGGCATGGACGCGTGCATGCTGGCACTGAGGCGGCACCTGGGCAAGCTGGAGTTCTTGACGGAGCTGGAGCACAAGTGCGAGAACATGGTTCGTCCTCCTTTTGATGAGGAGCAGGGTTCCGACAAGGCATGGGACGTGCTGGGGGAGGTGATGCGCGAGGAAGGCCTGGCGCACTTCGGCCTCAGGGATGAGCTCGAAGGGACGGGGGGCCGCCCTGGCGCGCATGGTGCCCTCGCACGACCTCCAGTTCGGCGACCTCGTGGCGGCTTGCTACATCACGGCCAAGGTTCCTCTCGGCAGCGGCGTGATCAAGAACGTGGAGGACGCGGGCAAGGCTTACAGCAACATGTGGCGCGGCAAGTGCCCCGCGCAGCATGGCCCGGGTCCGCCGTTGTGGAGGCGGCGGTGCGCTCCCTGGCCAACGCGACGGACATGGCGGGCTCCGACTTCGAGGGGCCAGTAGAGGCGTTCCACGTTCGGGTCTGCGAGCGGGGCTTCTTCAAGTACTTCAAGTTCAAGGACATGTACGGCAAGAAGCACAAACGCGTGTGCGTGGCGATCGGGATGGCCGAGGTCGCGGCCACGTTCAAGAAGACTTTCAAGATCGGCGGCCCTGGGCACCGCGCCGACAGGCGGGCCCCATCGGAGTCGTCAGGGGTGGTTGGGGCCAGCGATGATGGACGTGACCCTCTGGCTGGTGGGCGGGCGCGGCGGGCGGGCCACTGAGGAGCGGCCCGCGCCCGCGCCTGCGGAGGCGCGCCGTCGGGGCGCCTCGCCCCCGCCCGCCCTTCGGCTGGGGCGCTCGCTCGGCCGCGGGGCCGGGGCGGCGGCGGTAGGCGGGGCGGCGTTGGGCGCGCGCGCCGCCTCCTCGCGCGAGCGTGCCGCCGAGAGCTGAGCGGGGTTTCGGCCGTTCCTCTCGGCGGGAGGTTCCGAAGAGACAGCGGCGCCTTGCATGGGCGCCCATGTTGTGTTAATACGAATGTATGTATGTATGTGTATGCGTGTATGAGTATGACTATGAGTATGTGTATGCGTATGTGTAGGTGTATGTGTATGTGTATGAGTATGTGTATGCGTATGTGTATTCGTATGTGTATATGTATTTGTATGTGCGTATGCATGTATGTTTGTATGTGTGTATACATATATGTATGTTTAAATGTATGTATGTATGCATGCATGTGCGTATGTATGTATGTATGTATGTAGGTGTATGTGTACGCATCTATGGAATCTCTGTTATGCGTGTATGTATGTATGTATATGGGTGTATGTGTGTATGTGTGTTTGTATGATTGTATGCATGTATGTATGCATGTATGTATATATGTAGATAGGTAGATCGGTATGTTTGTGTGTATGTATGTATGTATGTGTGTATACATGTATGGTTTTATGTACACCGACGTGTGCACGCCTATGCAAACACTCTTCGGTTGGTAAGGAGGTTTGAGGGGGAAGGAACCGACACCTCACTCAATCGATCACAATATCGATCGCGATCGCACTACCGCTCTCAGTTTCGATCTCACGATGAATACCGATATCGGTTTCACTGTCGATCTTACTGTTGATCTCACCATCGATCCTTCGATCGATCTCTCTACGGATCTAACTACCGATTTCATCGCCAATCTGGCTGCCGACCTCGCTGTCGATCCTACTATCGATTTCGCTACCCATCTCACGGTCCATCTCACTACCGATCTCACCCCATCAGTAGAAGTATCGATCTCATAATCGATCGCACTGCCGATTTCAAAATCGATCTCGCGACCCCTCGCACTATCAATATCACTAACTATCTCACTATCGATATCACTGTGGATCCTAGGGCGGTCTTTTGGCCCGGTTGCGCCGTAGCCAGAGGAGGGTTCATTTTTTTCGCCCGCCCACGCAGATCCGCCTCGCCCGCCCGCGCGACACGTATGCGAAACCAAAACCGATTTCCTGGTGGGGGGCTCTCTGTTCCACTGCGATCTCATTTTTTTGCTTCCGATTTTGGTTCATATGTGTATAAGTATGTATGTATATATATATATATATATATATATACATATACATCTACATATACATATACACACACATATATATATATGTATATATATATATATATATATATTCTCTGACCGTCGCCGTAGTAATCCAGATGGCATGGGAGGCTTGCAGGGTGCTTTTCGCAAGCAGTTTTGACCCCTCTTGGGGGCTGTTTTGGCCTTTCGTGTGGTTTTTTTTGGGACCTCTTGGGGAGCTGGGGCCTGTGGGTAGCCTCTGTGGGTGTCCTTGGTGCCTTGCGGGGGCCGTTTTGGGACCCGGTTGGGCCGTCTTGGGAGCCTCTTCGGCCGTCTTGGGGCCATTTTGGGCGGTCGTTGGGGCCTCCCTCTTCAGTGAGCACTCTTTTCGCCTGTTGGGCCAGCCAGTGTGGGTTCGCGCGAGCCGTAAACACGCCAACGGCGATGTAGGTAACGGCGATGTAGGTTTCGGTATTGTTGGAAACGCGTGGCTCGCGCTTTCCTATAATTCGCTGTGTCGTTTTCGTTCATCTCATTCGCATGCTAGAAATGTAGGAAAGTGTGGTTCGTGATTTCCTACACTTCAGCTCCGAACACCACCGGCGAGCAACCTCGCCGTTAGTGTTGCTTCGGCTGTTGGGCCAGCCAGCGTGGGCTCGCGTTGTCCTCTGAAGCTCGCCCCCGGAGCCCGGCCAGCGGCAGCGCGCAGAAACACATCTCGGACCCAGAGCAGCGCCCGGCGCGCAGACACCCAGAGCCACGCGCCATTTGGCCACGGCTCCGCAGCCCCGCTGCCGTGCGCGGGTTTTGCTGCAGCGGGCTACGAACGGGCCGAGGCATCACCGGGCCGAGCGGAAGGGGGGTGCGACATTTGCTGGATGCAGCTGGTTTCGGCCCCGCCGGCGGGCCGCTTCCTCGATGCATGGGCGCCTCCCGGCGCCGGGAGGCGCCGGGAAAACCAGCCACGTGAGCTGATTCTCTACCCCACCTTTTGCTATCCCCCCTTTCGTTCCCCCCGATATAAGATCAAGGGGTCGGTTCGGGGAGGGTATCCTAGTGCTCCTCGTGTGTGTGTGTGTGTCTGTGTGTGTGTCTGTGTGTGTGTCTGTGTGTGTCTGTGTGTGTGTCTGTGTGTGTGTCTGTGTGTGTCTGTGTGTGTCTGTGTGTGTGTCTGTGTGTGTCTGTGTGTGTGTCTGTGTCTGTGTGTCTGTGTCTGTGTCCTGTGTCTGTGTCTGTGTCTGTGTCTGTGTGTCTGTGTGTCTGTGTGTCTGTGTGTCTGTGTGTCTCTGTGTGTCTCTGTGTCTCTGTGTGTGTGTCTCTGTGTCTCTGTGTGTCTCTGTGTGTCTCTGTGTGTCTGTGTCTCTGTGTCTCTCTGTGTGTCTCTGTGTGTCTCTCTGTGTGTCTGTGTGTGTCTCTCTGTGTCTCTCTGTGTCTCTCTGTCTCTCTGTGTGTCTCTCTGTGTCTCTCTGTGTCTCTCTGTGTCTCTCTGTGTCTCTGTGTCTCTCTGTGTCTCTCTGTGTCTCTCTGTGTCTCTCTGTGTCTCTCTGTGTCTCTCTGTGTCTCTCTGTGTCTCTCTGTGTCTCTCTGTGTCTCTCTGTGTCT